TCTCACTTAGATGTAAGCTACAGCCGGCGTTTAACACTTCTGATACAGAAAAGACATCCAAACACATAGTGAGAGTAAATCCTAATGCAACTCAACGCTGCCTCACACGTCGGACCAAACAAGAACGGAAAGCTCCTTCAGAAGTGATTGATTACAAGTTAATGCTTTACATTTTCGTCCAATTTCTCTCGTTTGTATTCCCGGAATTTTTTTAAATGCTTGAAATGAGGATTTTGTTTAATCCGAAAATCCTATGTAATCAAAACAAAACAGCAAAAGAGGTTTTATCGGAAAAAAATCAATTAGACATCTTTTCAACGAGACTGATTCCAGTATATTTAAATTTAGCTAGAGCCGAGTGGTTTCAAACTCAACGAAGATTGCTATTATGTGTCTTTTCATCCATAATGCTGTTATGATTAACGTTACGATGCGTTAATCAAATTGGCCACTTTTTATTTCTGAAATGAAATTGATACAATATTAAGTGATGCTCCACAATTGTGATTAAGAATGTAATTGGTCGTCACTTCAGATTGATAAGACTTGATATGGTATAATGTTTTCTCCTATTTGATCATGTACACGTATATGATAGTTCTAAGGAATCAGCTTAATTTGTCCCATTACCTGAAGTGTATAGGAATTTAAGTATATGTTACCTGGGAACAAATACAATATATGTTGTTTAAATCACGCAACCCAATTGTCATATTATTAAATGTTATGATAAAAACTGTCAATTCTCATCTGCTTTTTATCGTTGGCATTTAATATAAACTTCCCATGCTTGCAGAATAGAAGATGAATTAATGGTGACTGATGTAAACGTTTAGAAGTATACAACGACATTCACAGAGAGTAAGGAGGATTTTAGCGGTGAGGTGGACATGATACCGACAGTTGATCAGCAAATATAGTATGTAGCAACTGATACACGCAGCAGATAGCAAAGGGATTTAATTAAGCACATGTTAGATACTAAAGTTCTTACCAAAAACACTAGATAATAATAAGGTTATATATATATATACAGGCCTAGTTGCACAAATGATGAACTTACGATAAATTTATTCCCAAATGAAGTCAGTATGAAGAATTGTTTAATTTCAAGTTGTGTTTATTATTCTGTTTCCTTTATAACTTCTATACTACCTGACTGCTACCATTAAAACTTAACACCTGTATTCAATTAACGACACACTATGGAATTTTGTTAATAACTTGGCGTGTTTTCATTGCAACGTTAATCTGTATATTGAATTGAAACTGAATTAGCTTGTGGTCATGGTTTACTGGAGACAGACAAAGCTAGATAATACTTTGTACCAATATAGAAACACATAAAGCATTGAATGTTACTGTGCATGCAATCAAAGTATTTTTAAAAAATAGTTAAACACCAGATCATGTTTATTTTCGAACATTTGTTGTTCTCGTCCTAGAAACGATAGAATTCTTGCACATAAAGATGGCGCTTCGCCAGTGTTATAAACACTTGCAGTGGACAAGTGTATGTTAATGTGTCGTAGACATGTGATTTAAGCCTGCAATGGTTATGTAATGCAAATGTCTTACTATCAGTCGCACGACATCTTGGAATATTGGGATATCAGCAAAGCCGGTCCCCGTACAGTTCGGTTAATAGACATCAATGGATACGTTAAATCATTTCTCTTCACGTCACGTATCACTTAACCGCACGCCATTAAAGCATAAGCTGAAGACAGTAAACGATTACCGAGAGAGCCTTGCTCTCTCACACCCTTTAATCGGCGATATAGGTGCACTTTCATCACTCGATGTCATACAGATCCCACATGTACTATTGAGACTAGTTCATATAACATTGCCGGGACTAGTTCATATAACATTGCCGGGACTGGTTCATATAACATTGCCGGGACTGGTTTATATACCATTGCCGGAACTGCTTCATATAACATTGCCGGGACTGCTTCATATAACATTGCTGTTTAATGTAGTTTATAAACCCTTTGAATATTAACATCAGGGTGGACCCTACTTAGAAGTTTTTGTCTGTTTAATGCTTTATTTTATTGTTGTTAAGGTATCATTTCACAACATCATTACTATATATACAATGTATAACAACTAAGGTAATTATCGGGAAGGCATCAACAGTTAAAATAACCAATGTCGGTTACAAATCAAAAGTGCAATTTTCGTCACTTTTGTCTTGTCACTCCATTTTACGATTTGCGGTTTGTGCAATCGATAGTTAGTAGCGGGAAAATTTCAAGTATCAATACGTTTTATTTTCATTTTGATACATATTGTGACAATGGTAATAGAGGGAAAAGATGCCATTAAATATCAGATAAATTTCATTTTTTTAAACCCTAAATATTTAAGATTGAAAATGAAAAACTTGCCAGATGTTTTGGCAATATTACCGCAAAGTCCATCACCTGGTAAGGTCACCTGGCAAGGTCACCTAGTCGAGATTCAGTTACAGCTGTGTGACATTCTTTTGATACATAATCATTGTTTTAGATGTCTGTGCAAAATAAGCTCAAACTATATTTGTAAAAATATTGAATTAAGAAAGTTTCATTTGTGAACCAAACATCTACCATTGGCAGGAAGTAGGTCGGACTAACAAAATTTTGGAATGTTGACAGTAATAACGAAACCGACTCAGTAAATGCCATACTCGAAAGAAAATTGATAAAAACTCCAAAGTTCTACCTGAATTGAATACGTTTTCCATCCTCATCATTAAACAGTAAGCACGTGTATAACATGTTGTAAATGGCTGCTAAGGCGTTTCAATCGTCTATCTCGATCATATTGAAAACAATTAAGTATATCATCCAACTCCATCCGTACTGACATTCATCAATTAATTTACATCAATAATCATGTATCTTCATATGATATACCGAAACATTCTGGCTGTTAACAGTTAGTAAATGTGTTGATGGTTGCTAAACACCAATAACAGTGTAGATATTATTTTGTTGAATAGATATTGATATTGGACATCAAATTTAATAAAACCTTGATTACATCTAAAACCTGAAATAGTCTGATATTTATATAAACGAGATATTTATCAAAATACGTTGCAAAGAATGGGCTTATATTTAGGAAACCAGACTATATAATGGCTGAAAGCATGTATCAGCTAAGCATGCAAATGTATCTGCTACATCACGCCCTGTCTGATTATTTAAATATCCACGTAGATACAGGTTCGTCCTCTATCGGATCCTTTGCCCACATTTTACGTCCATGATATTTATTCACAATACAATATCGGGGTACTAACGAAAATAGACAGGCAAGAATATGGAGTAGCTTAAATAAATCTGACCTTTGCTGTTGTCAAATTTGTTGTCTTTACATGAAACTTTCATTGTAGCTTGTAAAATATCCAATAGTAATTCCATGGTTAACCTTAGCGAAACCAGTTGCGATGAATGAAATTACTGCTGAAGAATTCAGAAGAATTGATAGGTATGCAAGACAATAACAGTAAATGTTTATAAAATGGTTTTAAAGATCATGTTTTTTTGCTTGTTCAAAATTAAATGTAGACCTCGATGTCACGGCAATTTTGCATGTATTCGTCTTTGAAACCATGATAACAATGAGCATATCTGTAAAACGCCAAGACCATCAATGTGTATTAGGAACATGATTCCTACAGTGTGTCAGCGAGTGTCAGATATCCAACTGGTAATATTTTCCCGCCGGCAATATAAATCTGTATACTAAATATTCAGTGTTTGTCAAACAACATTCAAACACCAAGACTGGGGGTATAGTTTTTAAAAATCACCTTTAAACTGGGCCTTTCTATAATGCATCTGTTAGTCGCCTTCTCCTGAACAAAAGAATGCCATCTGCAATACTTTCATTGCAAAAACCTTTTAGATAAACGTTCGAGTTTTTCCAGTTTATGTTTCATAAACAATTTTTCAGAAGATATTTAACCGAAACTTGACCTCGTAGTTGGAAATGGGTTCATTATCTAGTTTCCATTAAGGTTTCTAAAGGTTGACTCTTCGTATTTAAATCACAGGGATGTCAACATAAACCCTTGATAACATGGCATTGGATGTACTTCTTATAGCCTCTTTGTAGAAATCTTTCATCGCGAAGTTTCAAAAAACATTTTTCCTTGTCGGTACGGCTAGGTAAATAAGTAAATCTAACGTTTTAGGGAAGATCTTTAAAATATTTCCTTTTACCAAGAAACAAATTAATATCATGAAATGTCTCCTTACACTTGCGCCATTCAATCTATATGAAACGAAATTTTAATCTGTTTATATCACAATTCACACAATTATTATCAATTTTCGTCTTTTGTTCTGGTCTCCTGTGTAAGTAAGTAAAGAAACCGAACACTGACAGTAGATGTATGAAGAACCAATCTGAGAGTGTCTGGTTTACATCCGTCACGGTTTAAAACACTCAATTACACACGGGTCAGATAAGACCACGTATATTTTACACGACTTGAATTAAGGTTACTCAGTCCTCTGCCTTGATACCATATTATACTTCATGTCTACATTATAATGGGTTTTATCTAATCATTGATCTCTTATACTTCTGTGGCTGTCATACACGTCACCTGTTTCATCATTGATGTCCTACGTCAATACTTCAATCATGGACCAAATAATTACAGGTTTTTAGCAGTACCAGTTTACAAATGGAAGTGAACAATGTTCTACACAATGTATTATAAACATTTCGAAAAGTTTCATGCAAATCGTACGATAGAAAACTATACATGGTCAACTTGATTCAGTTACGTTTCAAGTATGGTAATAATGGAAACATGAGAGAGCATTTAAGTACCTTGTTTCTGTGTTCAAACTATAATGTACAATCCTGCCAAAGTCGTGTGATTCTGGTCGTGATTAAAACCCCTAAAAGCCGTTACCATGATTTTATCTGTATTAATGGTTCAGAGTAAAGAAATGGGACATGAAGGGAATTCAATTTCTTATTTTCGTTACCTTGATTTTTGACCGCCATTGTAGGAAATCCCGGAAGTGATCACTGTTTCCTGGAGAAGTTCGTTTCCAGAGTAAAATCCCCACAATGGAATACGTGACGGCGAGTATAATGAGAGGAATGACGTAAGTAAATAAGAGAACGAAAATGGTGTAGACCCTACGGGAGTTAGGGGAGGGCCATACCTCGTTACATATCAGAGTCTGTTTATCTAGGTAGTGGCCCCTGGCTACGCCCAACTGAACAGACGCCAGACTGATCGAAGCTAGCCATATCATTGACAACACGTATTTTGCACGTTTTTGCGTGAAACGTAAGCGTAAAGGAAACGTCACGACCAGGAAGCGATCTATACCGATAGCCATGTTCGTAAAAACACTTGACGCTACGGAAAGTAACTGGACAAATAAAACTATGGGACACATGGGCGCTGAAAATATCCATGTTTGAAAAATAGCATCCGCAAACGTAAATGGCATACAGAATATTGCCATCAGTAAGTCGGCAACTGCCAGGTTGATGAGAAACGGACGTAAGTCTGTCCGTGAGCGTTTACCCCGAGCGAACACAATGACCGCCAAAGCATTTCCGATAACAGACAATAAAGTTGTTACGGCATACAACGTAGTCAATCCAACTATCGAATCCTTTGTTAAATTTAAATGTGATTCTTCTGTCTTTCCTTGTGAATTATTCCTAGAAAATGCATTTATGACTGTTGTGTTGTGGTGTCCATCCATTGTCTAAAATATCGTTTTGAATCTAAACTATTAGTTGTGGAATGCGTCCGTAAAAGTGACCATAGCGGATCGATTCCGGCCAGTAGAAATGACCACACAGTCCACGTCAATGCCTTTTCATTGAAGATTATATCACTTTTAACCATAAAGCTGGCGTTACTATAACAACACATATTGAAACGCCTATCGTCGGCATTGATATACTTTTGATAGTCATGTCACAGCCTCAGTCTCTGCTAGTCTGCTGATACTATGAGAAGGGACCCTTTAAATCGCCAGGTATCCATTCACCATTCGTTCATCTCGCGCTTCACCTACAGCACAAACGATAGTGTTTGGCACACGCGACTAGCGGCAGCGTATTGTATGAGAAACCATTCTACTTAGTGTGCGAACTATCTCGCGCATCTCGACGCTGTTACCTTGTAACATTAGTAACAGTGTTTCAGTAAAATGAGATGTCTGACTCTCAAAGTAGACCAAAAACTGTAGGAATCGTATAGACTTGTGGAACAGTATAGACTATGAAAAGTTGGATGTAATATCTTTAATAATATCTTTTCATCAGAACATGCTTCACAATTGCCTATATTAAAACAATACAATTTGTAGTAGCTCGTGAACGAAAGATACCCAGAAACGCAGTCGGCTTAATGCTGCTTTGAAGTTGAATAATTAGATCTACTTTAATGGATTGCCTAATATTTGATGTCGGTACTTTGATATCTATGTATATCTTTATATAACCTTTGTCGAACGGTGACCTAGATTATTCGGTTTTCAGTGATTTCGTGTACATGCAATACTTGCTGAAATATTTTATTTTTGAATAATGACGTAGATTACCTATACATTTTTTACATCAAATGTCGGATATTAATCATGACAGATACCGTTTTTTATTTACACAGATACTGTTTATCAGGAAGGTCTGGTATATGTAGGTAATGAGAACGATGCACATACATATAGGGGTCTGGAACTCACAGTATCAATCTACTTCATACAATTATTAATATGCTTTACACACGATTTTAAAGTGTTGTATTCCATGATGAATGCACACAGCTGAACGATATAAAAACTGCTGCAGTTAACTAATCGAATATCTGACATAAGATAAACACAAACGATCAACATCTAAATGCACGGCTTTTACATTATCTAGTCCTGATCTCAGAGTTCTATTCAATGGTAGTATACAAACCAGGCTAAATAAATATCTCATAAATTAACCTAAATATTCCAACCCTGATCGCTCAAAGATAGGAGATTCTATCGGATGGCTTAGTGCTGCAGATGCGTCGTGACTCACGAAAGTTTTGAAAGGGAAGAACCCGTGAGGTGTCGCAGATGAGTTATTGGTAGGAGAAAAATATGTGAAGGAAATAGAATCATGATACTCTACACGTATCACTTTGGCAGATTTTGAAATGTTTCCAATGCCGTAGAAAAATGTTTGGGAAAGTCAGCTTCTTGATATTTCAACATAAACATACATGTATTTACCAATAAACACGCGAAGTAGAAAATGCTCAAGTGTTAGAAGTAACTAACTTATTATTGATATTCGTCGAACAATTTGGTTCTCACTATTCATTGCTAATTTCAGATATCTCTCTTGTCTGATACATTTTCACCAGATCAATTGAGACTAGATTCATTACAAGTATAGTCAACTTCACCGACAGCAAAAATATTATTTGTTCCAGCCTTTAGCTACTGTACAGTGAAGTGACCGTTTTCAAGTATATTGTTATCTTTTTCTATCTTAGAGGTGGTAGGACCTACTACCAATAGTTGAAATGGAACATTGAAAGTTCAGTTCCTTTAACATGTCACATGAAATTAGCAAGGGGGCGTTTTAATAGACGGAAGTCAATTAGGTGGAACGGAACTGGAACATTTCCTAGCAATCGGCCAGATGTCTAGAACACCACATTTGGCGACTTTTACCATTAATGATAGGAGTGGAGAGTGACATTTTCTAGGTCAGGAAGCCTGTGGTCTCGTGACATCCGTGGGCAGCTCATTGTTCCCTTAACAGCCAGTTATTTTATATGGTATCTGTTAGACTGTCGTTCTCTCCGATCTGTTGTCCTTACTGAACTGCTAATAACACCAGACAATTTTACTAAGCTCTCACATCAACGTCGACGATATTCGATTTTTATTGAATGTGAAATGAAGGCGTCAAAACTGCATTATGAACACCTCCAGCTGCTAACAACAAACTTTTGGCTACGTACAGTTTGTGTGTTTCTTTTGATTATCTTTACAACTATAGCTTTAATTCGTTACTTTGACTGACATGTTTAAGAATGTTTGCACTAATCCACTCAGAACGTGCTGTTACCAGGTTTTGTTATCGAAAACTAATACTACCGAAGTAACGAAAAGCAGCAGGATGCTGTTAGTACAGAACTCGTCATATATCAACACTTGATATTGCAACACACCTCTTGTGAAACCTTTCAACCGAACGAAAACTAAAGAGTTACACTACGGGGAGCAAACTCTATCAATCATCGTAATATAAAGTTATGAACAAGGTGACGACAGGCCTAACGTTAACTTCGCAATATTAATTCGAAACAGTTGCTTCGGTCATTAACCTGTTTCACGGCCACCTGTCAAACACATCGTGGTCTGTTTAAGCCGAGTTCTTATTTTCGCCACAGGAATTGTGCGGATAGTATCTATAGCTAATCTTTGTGTTAAGGTAAAAATCAACTGAATGCTTTTTGGACTTAGCTTGTTTTATTTTAGATACGTTATAAATCAACATGAAATCTGTATCACTGTAATATTTGACATTGCTACCTTACTAACATGTACGCTAGTAAATGGAAACAAATCCAAATTAAGCGTCATCACACGGAATTTGTTTTTGCACCATGTTACAATGATAATTTAAATGGCAACTCTTTATTCCGCTACAAGCCTTTGTTTATTGTCATTCCGAAGGACACCTGTATGGATGAAAACGTAAATGATTCTGAAAGTGACCTCGCTGAGAAACAAACCCCCATAATATACAAGGTCATGGCACTTACAATGCTTTTCACAGAGAGATAAGAGCAACGTATAAAGGCAGGTAGACAAATACATAGCTTTTGTATACCAGATAAGTAAATTAAATGGGTAAGTGAATAGTTAGACTTCGTTTCACTTCAGCAATTACACAATATGCCATAGGTCATGTGCTGTTTCAATGCTCCCGGCCTTTTAAAACTTTTCAATAACTTTGATTTAATTGTAATGTAGTAAAAAAAACTTCACATGTAGAAACTATCCATTTAATATATTTTAATACACTGACATCATATGACTTAATATATATTACGATTGTAGTTACATTTGTTTGGTTTGCTTTAAGTGAGAATAAAAACAAAGGACAATACCAACGTGTCAACAGACTCTAAATTGATGCGGCTACAGCTAAATAGCAACAAAAATTACACGGAGAGTCCTGAACATTTACACGGAGAGTCCTGAACATTTACACGGAGAGTCCTGAACATTTAAAGTGAGACTCATGAACATTTACACGGAGACTTCTGAAGGTTTACATGGAGAATCATGAAGATTTACATAGAGACTCCTGAAGGTTTACATGGAGACTCCTGAAGATTTACACGGAGATTCCTGAAGGTTTACACGGAGACTCATGAAGATTTACATGGAGAGTCCTGAACATTTACACGGAGAGTCCTGAACATTTAAAGTGAGACTCCTGAACATTTACACGGAGACTCCTGAACATTTACACGGAGAGTCCTGAACATTTACACGGAGACTTCTGAACATTTACACGGAGACTCCTGAAGGTTTACACGGAGAGTCCTGAACATTTACACGGAGAGTCCTGAACATTTAAAGTGAGAGTCCTGAACATTTACACGGAGAGTCCTGAACATTTACACGGAGAGTTCTGAACATTTACACGGAGAGTCCTGAACATTTAAAGTGAGAGTCCTGAACATTTAAAGTGAGAGTCCTGAACATTTACACGGAGAGTCCTGAACATTTACACGGAGAGTCCTGAACATTTACACGGAGAGTCCTGAACATTTACACGGAGAGTCCTGAACATTTACACGGAGAGTCCTGAACATTTAAAGTGAGAGTCCTGAACATTTACCCAGAGAGTCCTGAACATTTACACGGAGAGTCCTGAACATTTAAAGTGAGAGTCCTGAACATTTAAAGTGAGAGTCCTGAACATTTAAAGTGAGAGTCCTGAACATTTAAAGTGAGAGTCCTGAACATTTACCCAGAGAGTCCTGAACATTTACACGGAGAGTCCTGAACATTTAAAGTGAGAGTCCTGAACATTTAAAGTGAGAGTCCTGAACATTTACCCGGAGAGTCCTGAACATTTACCCGGAGAGTCCTGAACATTTACACGGAGAGTCCTGAACATTTACCCGGAGAGTCCTGAACATTCAAAGTGAGACTCATGAAGATTTACGTGGAGACTGCTGAAGGTTTACACGGAGACTCCTGAAGGTTTACACGGAGACTCCTGAAGATTTACACGGAGACTCCTGAAGGTTTACATGGAGACTCAAGAAGATTAACAGGAAGACACCTGAAGGTTTACACGGAGACTCCTGAAGGTTTACACGGAGACTCCTGAATATTTACACGGAGACTCCTGAAGGTACACGGAGACTGAAGATTTATGAAGGTTTACATGGAGAATACACGGAGAAGATTTACATAGAACTACACGGAGACTCCTGAAGGTTTACATGGAGAATCATGAAGATTTACATAGAGACTCCTGAAGGTTTACATGGATACTCCTGAACATTTACATGGAGACTCCTAATAATTTACACGGAGACTCCTGAAGGTTTACACGCAGACTCATGAAGATTTACACGGAGACTCCTGAAGGTTTACATGGAGAATCATGAAGATTTACATAGAACTAGACTGACGACTACTGAAGGTTTACATGGACAACACGTACAACTAGACCTGTCGACTAACATTTACATGTACAGACTCCTACTAATTTACACGATAACTTGAAGGTTTACACGCTAGACCTGAAGATTTACACGGAGACTACAACTAGACCTTACTACAGGTAACACCGATAACAACTAGTACAACTAGACAACTACAGGTAACACCGATAAAGGTACAACTAGACCTACTACAGGTAACACCGATAACTCCTACGTACAACTAACCTGTTTACACGTACAACTAGACCTGAATATTAACACCGATAACTTTATACGTACAACTGCTGAAGTAACACCGATTACGTACAACTAGGACAACTACAGGTAACACCGATAACTTT